CCCCCCCTCCCAGACGTGAGCCACCTTTTTTTCAAACCATTGCTCCTGCAGCAGCTGCCGGGGCCCTAAAAAAGAAGAGGAGGAGGCGGAGTCAGGAAGGGAGGCCCAAACTGTGACATCTGCTCATCCCGTTCAGCTGCGGTGTTGAAGCACTGGTGCAAACGTTGCTGTAACACCTCAGACGTGTCTGTGTAACATTTGATTTGTTTGTTTCTGAGAGGAATACATGAATGGGGCGCACTCTCGCACCAGTTGCTCTCATTTCTTTGTCTGTTTGTTTGCCCAGTTCTCTCCTCTGTCTTTGGTCCAAAGGATATTTGATGCTATGATTTTAATTGCTTTACTTTTTCACAGATTTGTTTTTTAAATCGTCATTACTGTCACTTTCATTATTATTACTATCATTCTTATGATTGTCAGCGTGATGTCAGTAATGAGTTATAGTAGTAGGGTAGTAGGGGCAATGGTAATAATGAGGAAATAATAATGAGAATATGATAGTAATGATAATGTGGATATAATATTGCACATCACTTTATGTCAGTGTTTTAAATTTTATATCGGTTGTTTTCATTTTGTTGTTTTCTTTGTTTTTTTTAGATGCATTTGCGAGATCATCCTCTCTTTTTTCTCTTCACCTGATATAAAATATTTTTTAAAGATTTTTTATCCTTTTCACAGTTATGTGTGGAACCATGGCAGAAAAAAAACAAGACAAAACATAAAAAACAGACCTTGAACTGAAACCAATGTTGGAGTAAACACAAATTTTGGATATTGCAATCTTATGAAATCCAAAAAAATAAACACTAAAAAAAGAGAAAATAATAAAAATAATTAAATACACCCGAGTATTTGTGATCATGTTGTTAATGAAATGTTTATTGGCTGCAAGGATATGGTGAAGTATTGTTCATTTTATTTTCTCCTTTTACGACAAAGTGCTTCCTGGTTTGAGAACAACGACAAAAAACAAAAAAAAATATAACGGAAGTTTAAAATGAATTGAAATAAACTGTAAAACACGTCTTGGATAAATGAGGTGGTCTCTTTCCTTTTGTGTGTTTGTTTTGGTTCTTTGCAGTTTTTGTCTCCGCAACACAGAAATCTGCTGTCATTGAAACAGGTGCCATAAATTACTGCTGCTGAAACACATGTGAGCACTTTTGTGCAGTCTCAGTGTGTTTTTAAAGTGCACATTTGTGTAGCCTGTTTGTGTAATGAATGCCCCTGCAGAGATATTCAGTCAACGATCAGTTATGTGATACAGTTTTTACATATGATTTGGTGATGAGACCATTCACAATTCAACCACTGGAGTGTGACTTGTTCCTTAAAGACCCCATTTACAAAATACAGTATTCACTAAATATTATTACTATCATTATATGAAGATTGCTTTTTAAAACCTTTCATAGTGAGCTGTGTAGTTATTTTCACATCTTTGTTTATATTGCTGTGTTTTCAAAAGAATGAATCAATCCACATAAAAAGCCCATCAAGACACAACATGAACTGCAGGGTTGTTGTTCACTGATAAAACTTCATATAACTTCTGAGTGCAAACACCGCACCAGCTGCTACACCACGGCTGTCCAAGCCGCTGTACTCGACACGTTCTGATTAGTGAGGCCAGCAGGTGTGAAGGACCACTTTGTTCTCATCGCTCAAACATATACACTCACCCGCTTGTTACAGCCACGGTGCACAAAAGAGCATCTCTGAACACACAACGCATCAAGCCTTGAAGAAGATGGGCCAGAGCAGCATATAACCACACCTGATGTCACTAGTCAGATACAAACAGGAAACTTAGACTACGGTTTGCAAAGGCTCAAGACTGGATGTATGCTTGAGGTCACAGGTTACAGAGCTAGAAATCTCAATATATCTTATATTTTTACATTTTATTTTGTTGGGTTATTTTTTATACTTAAAAAAACAAACAAACAAAATTAATTTGTGATGTATAGTTGATAAAGTTAAACCAGGAAAAAATATAAATATCACCTATGCCCATCAAAAACAATTTTTTTTAAGTTGCCTATTTTGTTTGTTGCCCTTTTTAAAGTACATTTGGGATCTCCTCGCTCTACCCAGTGATTTGCTGTATTTTAGAAGCAATTATCATTTGATTAATGTTGCATAAATCAGGTGAGGTTCAGAGATATTTGCAGTAATATTAGCACAAGTGAAACTATGCATTTGTCATAGTATTAATAACAACACAAATTATTATTATTATTAATAATGATAACAAATTGTCACCCTGTTTGTGCAACTAAACCAGAAACTGTGTATAACCGCATGTTTACGAACTTTGGGAACCCCCACTATCGCTAGTAGCACTGTTATCGCTGGGTTCAGTGAAGTCTCGCGATGTTTCCTTGTGACAGAGGATAGTGGCGACGAGAACTGGCGTGGGACGGAGTGAAGAGAGTTGTTATCGAAGAGGGAGAAGAGACAGCGGCAGGAGCAGAGCAGGGGGTGTGTGAGTGTGTTTGTGAGGTCCTAAAAGGAGCACAACACGGCGTGAATGAGAGAGACAAGCTGGCGAATTTCAACATGGCATCCGGAGATACGCTGTACATTGAGACAGACGGCTCGGAGATGCCGGCCGAGATTGTGGAGCTCCACGAGATAGAGGTAGAGACGATACCGGTGGAAACTATCGAGACCACGGTGGTCGGCGGGGATGATGACGACGACGACGACGGGCAACCCATGATCGCGCTCCAGCCACTGGTCACGGACGACCCCAGCTCGATCCACCACCACCAGGAGGTTATCCTAGTCCAGACCCGGGAGGAGGTGGTCGGTGGGGATGACTCGGATCTGCATACGGACGGCGGTGGAGGGTTTGAGGACCAGATCCTCATCCCGGTGCCGGCTCCTGGGGTGGAGGACGAGTATATTGAGCAGACTTTAGTGACTGTGGCTGGGAAGAGCTCAGTGGGTCGGGTGAAACGAGGAGGCGGCACTGGTGGGAAGAAAGCGGGCAAAAAGAGCTATTTAAGCGGCGCTGAGGCCGGCGGAAGAAAATGGGAACAGAAGCAGGTGCAAATAAAGACACTGGAGGGGGAATTTTCTGTTACAATGTGGGCATCGGGTAAGTAACCTTAGCCTAGCTGTGTTTTAACAGCTCCGTTGTTAGCCGTTGCATGAGGCCTCATTACCAGGGCGTTGTCCTGCTGCACCAGACTAGTTCCTGGAGTGCTCCGCCGCACCTCCATGAGAAGCGACGTGTAACACAATTTTTCGATCCAAACCCCCGCTGTAGCATATCGAAATGTTTTTGTTTTGAAGGGAGGCCATGTTTTAGGTGTTGCTGGGCGCCGCCATATTCCCCGAGACGAGTAAGTATGGCGGCGGCCCCGAAAAAATGGCGATAGTCGTGGCCAGGCAGAGATGGCGGCGGTGCTCGGGGGAGTGAGAGAGAAGCAGCTGGGTTTCGGGGGGTTTTCTTCTCTTTAGGCCGCGAAATTGTGGCACTTTAAATGCACAAAAGCAACTGATACAGTACCTAGGTGTCTACTGTGTGATATTCGCTTATATTATGAGTCGGGAGCTGTTTAGCAGTTAGCTCTGGCTGCTGTTGCTGCTAGTTAACCAGACAGCTCTGCTTCTGCATAAGGCTAGCTCCATTAGGCTAGGTGCAGAGTGATACTGAGCAGGTGGGAATTTATAATCGCATAAAAGGCTTTTATGGGCCAAACGAGAGCTCATATTATCTGTGCCTGTGATTTATATTACACAAACTATATAAAGAACTGTTTATCAGAATAACTTTTAGCAATATACTTGTCTACATGTTTTCTGAGTGGACACCGCAGTCATCTATTTTTAGTGCTCTCTGCTGGTTGGTAGTGAGTAGGAGTCATTTACACACATGCACATCTTATTTGCACGCTTATCTTGTTATGTGTTTGTGTGTTAGTGTCTCTTTGTGTTTGTGTGTTTTATCTCATTTGAATTATTTTTGTTTAACATATTTCAAACATGGAATTAATTCCCAGTTTGCATAATCTCTTGAAAACAAAACTATTGTAAAAAAGATACTTATTTGAATTAAGAAAAAATAACAAGTTAAAGTTTGCAAAGTAAAGGTAGCCATATGGTGAATAACAGGTAAACACCCTAATGTGAATATGTGCTTTTATATTCATTTCTCCTGGGTAATTATATAAAAAAAAAAACCCAGGGGGCACATGTTTCCAGCCTCCTGAGGCTTGTAGCCAGGGTAACACCAATATGTTATCGGTTCAGTCTCTGTAATGTGTTTCTAGATGATAATAAAGACATTGACCATGAATCGGTGGTGGAGGAGCAGATTGTTGGGGAGAACTCTCCTCCGGATTACTCCGAGTACATGACGGGGAAGAAGCTGCCCCCTGGTGGTATCCCGGGGATCGACCTTTCAGACCCAAAACAGCTGGCTGAGTTTGCCAGGTGAGTGTGTGTGTGCCAGCACCCCTGCGTCAGTCATCCCCAGCTGTAAACAGACCTGTTTACACTGTCCACACAGTTCTGATGAATATGCACAACAATACCGCTGCTGCTCACGAATGCCATGAGTCTGAAAGGTCAAAAACACACAGGGTAAATTTTAGCTGCACTCTGCTAAACTCTGGAGTTTTTTTTCCTTAGTTTTCCTCCCAAGAATTAAAATGTCAAGGTTTGGTTACAAAATGTAATTAGGATTTAAAAACTGTGTCAGGTATTACACAAACATGCCTTGTGATTATTTTCTCTGTTTAATGTTTGTGCACAAGTGGATTAGGCCATGTGTAGAGTGTTTACCGGAGAAGCTAGGATGTTGTTACTAAATCAGACCAAAGAGAGGCTTTCTGTTTACCCTTATTATATTGTGTTTTATTATGAATTGACGATTAGTTGATCACAAAAGCCCGTGGTGCACTATTCAGTGTCCAGTGGGTCATTTTGTGAGGTTTTTCTTTTTTTAAATTAATTGTTTGTTAT